GCTGGGGAAGGCGCGCTGCAGCCTTCGCGTAGTTCGGGAGCGGAGCTTGGAGTCTGCGGGCGGCCGCTGGCGTTGCCCGCCCCTGGCGCGCTTCCGTGCGGGAGCGCTGACGAGCCCCGTGCGGGCGGTGTCCTCGTCTTTGGCTGCGAGATCGCGGTTTTGATCTGCAGCTGGACGAGCCCGTGACCGGGTCCGGCCTGTCTGCGAGGCGAGGACGGTCACTGCCGAAACCTAAAGACCTTTGGGTGTAAAACCTGATTTATCTGGTTTAACTTCATTTACCCGCATCATGATAAAACCCGCCTCATTTAAATGTAGCTGTCAGGCTAGCGATCAAACAGTTAACTGAATACAGCTGAGTATGTTTCAAAAACCCAGCACGCTGTCGCCCTGAATATTGATGCAAAGATGCTTTGCGTGTGTAGAATTCTGGTAAAAGGCAAGGTTACATCTCCTATCTACCACGCTTACCTGCCTGTAATCAGTGGCATTGCAGAGTAAATGCATGTGTTTAATAAATTGGCATTTCAGACATCAGTGATGATGTTCATTGTGTTCATTCCACTGTATCTGTGCACTGTGTTTGAATGTACGTATGTATAGTTACCTACGTTTTTGCACTTGCAGGCTTGTATGTCCAACTATATGGAAGTTTATTCTTTTTTATTTTCCCCTTTATAGGACTATGAAATGATTTGGGATAGATTTATTCTCATAAATGCTGTAAATCGTAATTTCCTCTAAGCTTCCTTCAGCTAAAAAGGTGTGATTTAAACCCTTTGTTAGAGAAGTTGATGGTTTTGGTAGATCTTTGAAAATGGAGTTGGGAAGGCCTGAGAATGTTACGATTGGTGAAGATCACCTTATCTTCTCTTGCAGTGCATTGTTTTTTGAGATAATTTTTGCAATTTGAAATATGAACAGACATTGTATTGAGAAATTAATTGAGATTATTAAGAGACTGCTTATAAGGTTTGTGCTGCTTTTTTTTCCACCAGAAGTGGTTGATCTTGTTTGTTGCATCATAACTAGTTGCTGTGGGTACAGTTGTCATCACATAGGATTGTGACTTCAAGTGAAGCATAGGCTGCAGAAAAATAGTAAGTTTTAAAGAAAGGCATAGTAATTGCAGAAATGTTCCTGAGGCCAGTGAAGAAATGTGGAAATAATCCTAGTGTCAGTTTTAAACAGCGTATCTTTTTAGAGTGTTCTTTAAGGCGCTTCTTACAGAGATTAAGGAGGACGAAAGTTGTGATTCCACAAGGTATAAAAAGGTACTTTAAAAAAGTGAGACTGCTTGTTATGAAGACACAGAGAAGGGAATAGAATGTAAAAGAACCAGATAGGGCAGTATCAAGGCACTGACAGAATACTTAAACAGTCTCCCTTCCTTCTCAGTCTTCCCGAGCTTGATCTTTTTTCTTTTTTCAAATAGCTCTGAGAAGATGACCGTCCTTTGCATCTCTTATGAACTGTGGCGTTGGTTGTTTAGTAGGGAGAAGGAAGATAAAGCCTAAAAGTTGAAGGGTATAAAAATGTGCACAGATAAACGCATAAGGCCTTACCTTGTCAAGGAAGCTGAGCTGGCTTATTGTAAGTCGGTTTTTAAAATGAATTTATGACATGCCTGTGCGCTTCAGTAGTACGACTTGAGGAGGGAAGGGATCTAGCTCCTGACCAGGAAGCAGTACAGCAGCCTCAAAGTGATACTGAAACTGAACACATTTGTACCTGCCTCCAAGTGGCAGAGTTTCTAAAAGATGCAGTGCCCTGCTAGTGTGTCTGTAGTGTGTCTGAGATCTGAGCCAAGAACTCTGCGTGAGGTTGGTCTGCTCCATAGGCACCTACTAGCGTGCCATTTTGCCTTCGGAGTTAAACGGGCAGCAATTGAAATCAGTGCAGAATATTGTGGAATACAATATAGATGCGTAGTTTAGCTTGAAAAAGCTCATTTTTGCTTGGCTCAAACCTTTTTTTAATTAAGTTAGTCAAGTACAGTTTATGTTTATGTCATGTGTACTTAAAGAGTGTATCTACAGGGTTTTTTTTTAGCAGTGGTTTAAGTCAGTATTACCCTATCAACTGTTTTGATCTCCCTGCACAAATAGATGAGATTAATATATTGTCATCAATTTCACTACAGCAGTTTAGAGTCATCTGCAGTTTGATTGCTGTGATAAGAATAACCATTTTCTTTCTGCTCATGTTCTCCAAAGCTATGTGCTCTGTCTGAAATATTTGGAGACGTTTGTGGAGGGGAAGGAGATACTCAGAAATTAGAGGACAGGAAGTTCCAGTATCTTCTCTGCTAGAACCATTGTTCCTTATAGATGTACCCAGGCATAGAATCAGTATGGCCTCGGAAACGATCAGCTTGAGAAAGTGGCCAAATAGAGAGAGGTGAGCTCCATGCTCTTACAGCTGTTTATGGGTAGTACTTAAAGTAACAAAATGACAGTGTCTGTGACATTGTGGTCATCCCTGACTTTAGGCACCTTCTCTTGGAGGATGGAATAAAGTTCATGTAAAAATAAAAAAAAAAATTGGAAGCAGTACCTGCCTTGAATATAATAGCTACTGTTCTAAATATCCTTCATAGTCTAAGAGTCTAGAATCTATCTTTCTAAAATCTGTTAACCCGACCACCATAATGCAGGCTGGATTGGACGTGGTGTCTGTGATTTCTGTTGGACACTGTGCCTGGTTTAGCAAAGAATTCACCGTGAGGGAAGAAAGATCAAAAGAGGAGAACAGTTTAGCATAATGATTGGGAGGACGTTTATCTCCCTCAAATACTCCTGGACTCGGCCTTTGTTTTGGTGTCTGTGGACCCTTTGGCATTGTGAGCAGAGACTAGAGTACAGGTATGGTTTTGGGGGAAGTGCCCTAATACTTGTCAATAAAGTGAAGTTACAGGTTGAGGAGGGCACAAGAGTAGGGTGCATACTGGTTTCTGGCACTAAGAGAGGTTGAACAGGATGAGTATTTCTTTAAGGGTACCTCCTGAGAGGTTGAAGATGTGGGTTTGAACCTTTGAGGTGTATATTTTTTTTTTTAACTAGTCCACTTAAATGAAAGGTGAGTGCTCTTGCTCTGGAGCTATTGAAGGTGCCTGGTTGTCCACTTCTGATTTTGAATTAATTTTCATTTCAAAGGAGGTTGAAATACAAGTGTTTATTCAGCACGCTCAAAAACTGTTGCTCAGACCAGGCTGAAATATCCTGTAAATCTCAGTTGAATTTATATACTTGGCTGTGCCAAGACTGAGGTAGTTCTGTGCCGCACAGAAGCAAAAATTTATATGCCATGACCACCACGTTAACTGAAATTTAACTGCTGAAAGTTCATCGCCCACCCGTGCTTATCTGAACCCATTTCAAACTTTTTGTTGATTGGGTTGGTGGAAGAGAGAGACTATAAACGCTAGTGGTATAGTTTCTGAATCGTCCTTGGGTTTAGTGAGGTTTTAGTAAGCATTTAACAAGAGCAACCTTCCTATTCCAGTAGCCAGAGCAGCTGCAGTTGGCCACCTGACGTATATCCTGAAATGGACATACTAAATTCTTAATTATGCCATAATGAAGAATTAATTCAAGTAAACTAGAATAATAAGTACAAGAAAACAGAAGATACTTCTTCACTTTTGAGTAGGTGAAGTTAGGACAACAAAAGTTATGTTCCTGAATGAAATGTGTGGTAGTAGGGAAGTGGGAAGGAAGAGAATTCTAGAAGGAGAAAGATGACAAACTTATCCTTGCCCTCTCTCCTGTGAGATCTGTTTCTTGCCCTTTTTTCCAAGTGTGATGAATTGCATACAGGCTTTATAAATGTAAAGTGAGTTTTGTAAATATGTCCAATTGATTGAAATATTTTAATAATAGTGTTTTCATGTGAAGAGATTGTTTTAAACAACTGTTCCCATGAAGTGATTTAAATCACTTCATGGGAACAGTTGTTTAAAACACTAAGCAAATGCAGAATAAAAAATTGGGCAAACCGGTATTTTAATTTTTACGAGCCTGGGAAAACTTTTAAAAGTACACGGGGAAAATGAGGTGCAACACGTTTTTAAATACTTAATTTCACTACTTAAGCACACAAAACATGCTAGCCAAATATATTTCAAATGGCATTATATCAGCAAGACAGTGGGTACAGAACCGTAACGTGTGCTGTAAGAAGGAATCTGCTCCTACATAGGATGTTATTTTCTCTGTGTATAGTCAAAGTAGAAAATTCTGCACCAGAATAGCTACGTTCTTCTTTACTAGCAAAGAGCACTGGTGGATTTTTTTGTGTTTTTTTTTTTTTTTTTTTTTTTTAGAGGTGCTCAAATTAGTTCTGTTTCTTACCAAGTGTTATTTTTGGTTTCACTACCAAGGTCCTCACCTATTGAAAATATTTTATCTAGGGGACTTGTGAGCATTTTTTTCCTGTTTTGACACCTTTTCTTGATACTGAAATGATAAATAATATTCCAGTATTTTACTTGGCAGTGTCCTTAAATACCACAAATTTTGAAAGAAAACATGGTCTGAATGTTGTGACTGTAATGGTGACCTGAATTCACCATTACACTTGTACATCTCTGAGACTTTAGTCATAAAGCTACGTGACTTGGATTTTATTTTCACTCTCTGTGGAATGTCTTGCTTGCTTCTTTTTTTCCTCCCACAAGATCATACTTGTCCCGAAATAAATCCTTCGTATTGTTACAGCTGATGCTCTAGAGAGAAAATGACCAGGTGTGACTCAGCTTTCTTCTCTTGCTTTTCCTGTTATCCGCTGCTGAGGTGAGTTTCAGTAGCATAATGTTTATTGTGGAGTAGACAGCAACAGGTCTTTTCCCATAAGGTTCTTGTTCTCATTAGGCTGGAAAAAATGGATTGAAAGAAATAGTCTCTGTTATCTTTTGAAAAGGTCAGAAAAGTGAGAGTGTATGGAAGAAGTCTGAACATGTGAAAACTGAAAGTTCGCATTTCTGCTTTTCTATCTTCAGTGTTGAAAATTGGTCTTGAGGTAAATGACTAGTGTTTGCCTGTCACCTGTTTCTTTTGCCTTAATCTTATTTGGATATCTAACTCATTGTGGAAAGAAATCCAGCATTCTCTCTCTGATGTGAACTTGATGGTATGTTATAGAATGGACTTTGATGCTCAAATATACTTCTTAAAGATAAATAATTTAAGTCCTATAAATAGCCCAGAGATGCCCAAAAGTGCCTGTTGCAATGCAAATAATGGAATAATCTGTAACCCAATTAGTACTACTATTTCAGAAATAAGAAGCAGGCAAAACTCCTCTCCCACAAAATCAAAAGCACCTGACACCACATCTTCCTCCTGCCAAGTTTACGCTTAAATAAAAGTAATGTTTCAGGTGAAGATACTGTTGAAAAATTATTTCATCAAGTGTTGTATGTCAGCCAAAACTGAAAAGATAGAAAACCTGAAGAGAAGTAGAGATTTGAATTGTGGGTTGTTTTTTTTTTCTTCTTCTTCAAAGGGAGGAAGTACCAACTTGACATGCTGGTGGTTGGCAGCATGTAGGCTCTTAGGGCCTGACTCACATTTTCTGTTTAGGTTCCTGAGTTTGCATGTCTGGACTATTTGTAGTGGACAGGGAGAGCAGCCTTTTGGAGATGAATGTCTTGGTATTTTGGCTTTTATATCATGAAAACTTAGGGGGATGAATCCCAGACCAAAGTGCATTTAATCCTGGTTTGATCCACTTTTAAGGGTGATAGGCCATATATAAATATTAGAAGAAAGAAAAGGTGGTGGAGTTTATGTATGGCTTTTGTGTATACAGCTATGAAGAGTGAATTCTTGTGAAGTAAAAGATGGGATCTTTGTGTTTACTTTCAAGGGCTTGTCTGGGCATAAGCTATTCTTAACCAAATTAGTTTAGGTTAAACAATACAGTTCCCTTACTGTTGATACTTAACAGTGTAAAACATCTTCAACCTTAGCTTGTACTACTAGTGAGTAATTTAACACAATGTATTTACTTGGGAAAGCATCCTCCCATTTATACACGGTTTTGGAGGTTTCTTAGCAGCTTCAAAGATGTAAAATTTTGTGAAGTGTAGTGTGTTGGTGTGTACCTGGGATATTCAGGTGATAGGGAAGAGCACTTCCCAAAATTAAACTGTATTTCTTTTTTTCCCATAGGAAAAATGAATGTACAAATGTGTCCTTTTTTAAAAAAAAAAAAAATTAGGGAGGAGGAAGGTACATGCAACAACATTCTTCTAACCACTGT